GGAGACGTTTAGCATCCCCCTGGAGATTCCTGTAGGAATTACATAAAGCAGTGGCAAATTGGGACAAAACTAATCGTCCCACAAAGTTATCGTCTCACTATGGACAAATCACATAGAAAGGCAGAGGAAGCAGTAAAACACCATGTTTACAAAACTAAGTGTTACAAACCAGCTAACACCAAAGAGCCTGAAAATGGCTGCAGTTCTGTATAAACACTGTAGATCCGATTCAAAGATTTTATTTCCTATGATCTTTAAATTAGTTACCAAAATAGTTTAGTACATTTCCAGCAGAGTATTACTCCCCCATAATTTAAGAGAAAGAGAGAGAAAGAGAAAGAGAGTGTGTGTGTGTGTGTGTTTTAAATGTTCACATATTTTAAACAAACTTTCTTTAAGACTGAGGCATATTTCCTGGCCTTGGAGACCACATTATGCCTCATGGCACAGACATTCAAAGGCTACAACCAAAAAGAACACAACCACAAGAATCAGTCAACAGTGTCTCTCCATTAAAAAAGAAAACCAATTAGGTGTGTCTTTAAAAAAAACAGATTCTAGTACAATATACACATTGAAAAAGCAGTTTTACCAAACATAAAAGTTAATTAAAAAACAACAACTAAACAGAGCTGCACTTTGAAATCATTTGGGAATGCATATTAACACCCCCCAAATATGGGAGGGTGGAATTGTGGAAGCAAATTTCATGATGTACTTAACATTAAATATGAAAATACTTCAGAGAAAAAAAATGACAGTGGATAGCTGGACTACTCTTATGTAAAAACAAGGACTGAGAGAGTTTCCAGTGCTTTTTCGGCTTGGGAAAAGATGGGCCCGCTACTGCCAACAAAGCAGAGCGAGATTATGATTGAAAATATCGCACTTCTACATGTTAAACAAACTCCCAGCGCAAAATGACAAGATTAGAGTCCTTCTGGACTGGGTTGTTGCTTTTCGGTGTTGGGGGTGGGGTCTGTGATGTTTGAAAAAGTCAAAACTGACTGCAGTGGGAGTTCTATTCAGGAACTGCAGGACAACATATTTACTTGATACAAGCTTAAAACACAAGTATTCTAAGCCACAAATTTCACTGAAAATCAGTTGGATTTAGGACCCGATATAAATTCTTAGAAGCTTAACACAGAAAATCAATTTTTAAACACATAATAGGTGCCTTAACACTCTTTTTGTAAGGCACTCTGGAGCGAGTGCAAATTTGTCCTCAAATGATCTTATTAACTGAGGTTGCAATTCTAAGCATATTTATGACAGAGCAAATCCCACTAGGTTCATTAACATTTACTTCTGAATAGACATGCTTGTTTCTTTTTGAATCTTGTTAAATTCTGTTCAGAGCTTTGAAACTTCACCAATGACAGCCTTCAGAAACACAAGAAACCACCTGATGTTATTCCTGATAATTCAGTTCTGTTGCTTAGGATCCAAAGAGCTTATTCTCCATCCTGTTTCAATAAAAGGCCAAAATGATACACTCCTCTGTCAGGGTCCATTGTGCCTAAGGACGAGGTGGGTGATAGAGAAAGGTAGTCATTGCTGTTTCTGACAAATATTTGTCCAGTTTTGTCTGGCATGTATGCAGTTCTCTAGTTAAGCGCACACCCATCGTTAAGAGGAATGCACTGACAGACTCAGGCTTTCAGGTCCTCTTGGGAGTACTTCATGACCTCCGTGAGAGTTCTGGCTGGCAGATACCCAGTCAAAGCACCATACTAAGTAATCCAGGAAAGTCAACTGGGTGCCAGTCCACGGGAACACAAAGAGGAAGAGCAGGACAATGAGGGCATCTCCCATGTTTAGCATGGGGCTTTAATTCCACAGCAGAAACGCAGGAGACCAAGGCTGTCTTCCCTCTCTGAACTGTGCCAACAACATCTACCCCATACATCCTCAATAAATGATCCTTTCTGGTGGTCATCAGGCAAGCAACTGATGCACAGGATCATGATGTGTGGAATGAACAAGCTGATCCCTGAAGAACGATCTGTACAGGTGCCCAATGAAAGTTCAGAAAAAGTTCAAAGAAAGGACAAAATTTCCTTAGTTACAAGGAAAAGGAATGTACTAGGTAAAGGGAGTCACTTTCTCTTTTTGCATACCTACGAAATGCCAAGTATGACCTCACAGAATTTACAAGGAATATTTTAGAAGACTGCAAAGGGGATTAGAAACCTGACTCTCCCAACACTTGAGCTAATTGATCTTTCAAGAGAGGATACCCCAGCATCTAAGATTATTAGCATGTCCTGCTGCTTTGCCTTCATCTACCTTCATTTCTAACTGCTGTCTGATCTCAGTAACGCATTTTGCGCCTCTGTCTTTTGTGAACAGAGACTTCTGAATGCAAGGGATCGTGGATGTTTGCAAAACTCTGTCTGCCCTCCCCTGGCTTGCTTGAACATTTAAGATATTTCTTCCTTCCCATCTCACTACTATTACTCTGCAGAACTTCAAATTAGAAGGCAACACTTCAAAATCCACAACTAAGTCATGCATATTCCACCAACGGTCGCCTGGCATAGTGGGAACATGAAAGTGGCAGAAGCACATCCCCAACAAAGATAGAATTGTTGGCAGCCATTTCAGATTCAGCTTTAATCCCCCAAATGTCTCCTCTCTTTGTTATCACGTTCCTCATTCCCAATAATCACAGTGGTACATAGCACAGATGATCCTCTTGTGTCAACATCTGGATCTTCATGTTTGTCCAGCACTCAACACCCAGTGCCACCTTGCTCTGCAAATATGAGGGGATGTCATGATCTTGCCCTCACCTTGACAGCAGTGTTGTCCATGCGAAAGGAAGAGAAATGGAAGGGATGCATTTTTGTGTGTGTTTTTCTTCTTCTTCCAATTGGAAAAGTAGTTGTCCACGACTGGACTGCTTGAGATCAAAACATTAAATGCAGCCTACAAATAGCGTATTGCCTTCTGCACTGAGATGCTTAAGCTTAAGAACCGTGCAGTCCCAGGCAGACAAAACACCCAGATGTTTATTTAGCCACTAAGAGTCACCATACTTGACATTTAGCCTGGTGGGTCACTGATGAAGGACTGTACTAGGCCCATGAAGAACCTGCCTCGGCTCCATAAACCTCCCTGAATTAAAACTGAAGAGTCCTTATTTACTTTCACCCTGCCTCAAGAGAGGAGATCTCCACCCTCCCGCCCCTATCTAGAATTTATAATGCCTTCCACTGGCAGTCAACCAGTGCTGGGTATCACACTCCCCTTGTCAAGAGGGCACAAGCCACAAATCAGACTTTTCCTCTTGACAAAGTTCCACTTGGCAAGGGCGACAGAAAGCTCTCCCCCGGGTATCACCAAAGAGCAAAGCTCTTTGGTGATAGAAGTATTGCAACCACAGGCTTGGCTCCAATGGCTTGTGTTCAGTTCCATTCCTTTGCTGTTTTTGTAGAAGCCTACAGAGTTGTAAAGAACTTTTAAGAGCGAACTTTTGTCTTCTGCACAGATTAGATAAATTTCTTGTAGATACTGAAGGCCAACAGAAGTGCTGAACAAAAGAAGCTCTGAACAGGCGGGAACTGCAAAGCAGCTTCTATTACTGGGTCAAGTAACTGAATGTCTGGTGCTTTAATAATACTAAATGAGGACAGTGCAAGAGGCAAGAGAAGGGGTATGTGTGAAGACATGATTAGAAATTTGATTTCTATCTTCCTTCTCCCCACAAGTCCAGTCCTCACCCTGGAAAGCACTTGAAAAGCCCTCTTCACCCTCCCCTCTAAAACTTTCTCCAAAGGGAAAAGAAATTCTACTACAAAAGGTTATGCCCTGAGTGGGCAGGAAAGGGGAGTGGACAGACTCTGTAAATGGCCCATTGAGCTATATTAAAAACATGTTTAAAAGTCCCTAAGGAGTTAGAATTAGTGGAGACTCGGTGAAGGGGGGGAGGGAGAGGAGGAACCCTTTAAATGGGAGATGCAAAGTATTAAAAAGTGCTCTGCAACTAATTTTTGTTTTTATGTGTATATATATATATAATATATATATATATGTTCATATATATATATTCATATTATAATTTTATATATTTATATATATATAAAGTTAAAAAGTTCTATGTGATATGCTAAGTCAAATGTCCTAGTAGGGTCACGACTGGAGAGCGTGTGGCCGGTTTGGATGGCAGATGGGGCATTCGCCCTC